CTCCAGCCCACCACCACCCTGGTGAGGATTAAGGTGTGGACATGATGGATGGATGTGTAAGAATATTTCAGTGGTCGTTTCTGTGCTCCTAATATTTTTCTTTCTATAGAACAGATTCAGAACTCATACAACCAATAATGTGGCATCACAGTTATTTTATTTTAGGTGTATTATGTTTTTTTTTTTCGTTCAAATTTGACAGTTTCATGTAACTTCATATTTCCTGTCACATGAACGCCAACCTACAAAGTGCAATACCAGAGACTGACCAGCAGACGTCGCTGTTTGCTTTAAAAAACAAATGTTGACTCGTTTTTAACCACACTTGATTCAAAGTGGTTAAAAATCAATTTTCACATCACTAAATCTACATTCTAAAATCTATATTCAATATAAAGCTTCTCTAAGCTGCTTATCACCAGTTTTATTCTCCTAATGAGGCCCTCTCAGGTGTCATACCTTCAACCTGTTCTCTTTAACGGCACTCTGATTCCCTGTGCAGGTCCTCTGCGAAGCGCCTCGTTGGATATTCACTGCCAGCACTGGAGGCTCCGGGTGATGGGGGACGTCGGAGGTTGGGGGGCACATGGAGGCACCAAGGAGGCCAGAGCCACACTGAAACACACCGTACAGGGACGGACTAGTCCTGCGCTGCAGGTAAGGGCAGCGTCAAAGTCCCACAGCTTTGTTCTTCTACTTTACCCACCTGTGGGCATCTGGTGCAGGTCGAGGCCTGGGGACGACTGACGGAGTCTCAGCTGAGGTGCTCCATGGCCGTAAACCCTGAACTCAGCTCCTCGCTCGCTCTCATCGTGCAGGGATACCACATGCCTCACAGGTACAGACACCACATTTTGGCACTCAAAAACATCTGAAAATGAAGGTAAAGTGAAACACAGACCCATAGTTTCTGACAAACATGTGCACACAGACGTACAGTTGGAACTAGACGTGTACACACACTGTATAAAACGACATAAAACCTTTTATTTTCTCACCATCTGACATTAAATTAGACAAAACTTTTCCTGTTTTAGGTCAGTTAGGATTAACAAAATTATTTCTAGAATTTTTACTACTTTCTTTAAAGTCAGAAGTTTACATCCACTAAGATGCCTTCAAACTGTTTGGAAAAGCCCAGATGATGACGTCATGGCTTTGGAAGCTTCTGATAGGTTATTTGACAACATCTGAGTTAATTGGAGGCACACCTGTGGATGTATTTTACCTCAAACACACTTCTTCCTTCTGTGACACCATGGGAAATCTAAAGAAATCAGCCAAGATATCAGGAAGCAAACTGTGGACCTCCATCAGTCTGGTCCATCCTTGGGTACAACTTCCAGATGTCTGAAGGTTCCACGTTCATCTGTTCAGACAGTTCTGTCAAGTACAACCACCATGGGAATGTCCAGCCATCATAGGCTCAGGAAGGAGACGGGTTCTGTGTCCCAGAGATGAAGTGTTCTGGTTGAAATGTGNAGGACGTCACCTGTTCTTCCTGTGTTTAAACGTCTGCTGCTGCAGGATGAAAATGAAGCGTCGCTGAATCTAAACCACTCCATGCCGCTGCTGAAGAAGCTGGGTTTCCCTGTGAAGGCCGCGCTAGCAGTGAATTCTGGGAGTCACAGCAACGGATCGTACTTTTACATATTCAGCAGCAGTGGGGGAAATCAAAAGGTAAGGGCAGCGTTGGCCGACTAAAACAGATTTTCAGGTGGTTTTTGGTATGAAAATGTATTTCAAAACCACTCAAGCTACCACTCAGTCGTAATAATGTCTGCAGACAGGCAGCAAATTATAGGAAAACCCTGAATAAACGCAGATGCTTCCACACAGCTGCACACCAGATTTCAACCTGACTGTACACCTGCAGGAACGTGTTATCGCTCCGCACCACCATCATCAAAGCACCAAAGGAGGGGATGTCTTTTAGAGAACACTGTTTATCCCTCCAGTACAAAAACACGAATAAATGGACCGTGAAGCTTTTCTGGCAGCAATACCTCCCCGACACCTTACGAAGATATTTCATGTTCACTACCTGTTGGTATGTTTTTGTAATTAAGAGATCAAATGTCTGATGGAATCTGTTTCTCTCTGCGTGGTGCTTCGGTTTTTACTGGGAACCAGATGGAAAAGGATTCTCAAAAATGTTTCTGACCCACTTCTCCTGAATTGTTTTGCAGCTAAGTCAAGAGCTGACCGTGGTGAAGACGTCCGATACGACGAGAGTGAAGAGTCACTTCAGACACATGGTGAACTATCTGAAGAAGCTGGGAATCCCTGCGAACAACAGCATCCAGGTGAGAAACCCAAACACAGACACATGGAAGCCCAGGTTTCAGCAGCTAAACCCTGTAACGGCGACTGTGTGTGCAGGTGGAGCTCGGTTCTGCGGAGGGGAAGGCCTTGACCCTGCAGTCCCAGTTCGGAGGTCAGCTGGCAGGACTGAGATTTAAGATGAAAAGTTTTCCTGTGGTCAAAGAAATAAGAGGAAGCATGTGGCACAGCTGGCCGTGGCTACAGGACAGAGGCCTGCCCCTTAGCATAGAGGTGAGACAGCATACTGAGTGAGATTTTAAAATGTATTTATTGAATTAGCGACTAAAATAAGCAAATTTTTCTGATTTTTTCCCCCAAAGGGCCTGTGTTCCATCCAGGGCGTCTTGTCTCAGCTCCAGTCCAGAGCTCAGCTCACTGTGGACGGACACAAGCTGCTCACCTCCGGCCTGAACATCAGCGGCGCTGACGGACGTCTGTCTGTGCGTCTGTCCTGCTCTCCGTTGGCTTTCAATCAAACAAGGACGCAGCAGAGTCTCGACACTGTGCTGACTGCTCAGTTCAAAGGTCAGATCGGCTCAAAAGCTGGGTCGCATTTTTGTGAGCTCGAGCCCTTTT